TTTTTTTACAGTTTTTATTTATTTTAGTTAACTAAAATGGTTTTTTTTCAATTTCAGTTTTCGTTATTTAGTTTTAGTTAACTATAATAACTCTGCTCCACACACACACCTCAGTACACTGACACACATTACCTGCTGCCTTAAATCAAATCCTTACAGGAACATTTCTACATTTAYGAACTTTGCTTTGTCTCAGAAAGACTCACGAGACCCAACCGTGAGAGTTGAACACAGAAATTTTACAGTTCAGTTTTGTGTGGCAGGTTTTCCAGCGAAGCCTTCAACAACTTGGTGTTAGTTTATTCATCTCTGGTGCTGTTCAGCACGAAGACTGAGGAACTGGATGTGAAGGTAGAACATGTGGCGCACATGTTAGCTGTGTTCTGGCGAAGGTTTTATTTTTATTCTTAGTTTTTTTCCCCCTCACTTTTTTTCAGGTTCTGATTGTGTCACAAGTGTTGGAAATGGCCAAGTTCATCACCCAGATCTGCTTCACCGCCCTGATGTCCAGTGACCGGGATCCTGTCAGRTACCTGAACAGAGACTGGCTCACTGCGATGCCTTCTCAGGTGATCAGTTCCATCCTTTAGAGCTTGTTTAGAATTTTTAAATCCAGGATAATTCCACTGTAAAGATCTAAAATATATTTTATAGGAYGTTCAGTGTGCTCTGACAGTTGTTTCACTCCCTGTAGGAGGAAGTGTGTCTGTCTCAGTTCCCGTGCATTAATCCTCTGGTCAGTCAGCTGATGTTGAACAGAGCCCCGTCCCTCCAGTGGCTCCTGGGGGCCCCTCTGGCTCAGCTGAAGGAGCTGTTTCCTGAGGTGCCMCATAAAGTCCTGAAGGTGAACAAATCACCACTCAAAACATGAGGGGGCTTCATCCTGTTCTTTGTCATTTCCAATAAAAATCTGTACTTTAAACTCAAAGTCTCCCAGTTTCAGGTTTAGAGTGAATCATTAAACACTATATTTCTTGTTCTTGTTTCCAGATGTTCAGTGACACCACCTCCCTGTACTGGAATAATGCAGAACCTAAAGACCCCGAGACAAACCAGGAAACAAGTCTTTCTCAGGGCATTCACACCCCTTTTGATCAAAGTGAACACATGAATCCTGTGCATTCAGAGCTGTTCTGCAGCTTCCCTCATGAAGCCATGAGAGCCCAGGACCCTTTCACTGAACCCGACTCCTCAGACTTTAGACTCGACCTGAACCGTTCCTTTGGCAGCCCCAAGGTGGGCCTTCGAAGTAGCTGGACCCGAAATGACGTGTGGAAAGAGGAGGAGAAGCTTCCTTTGTGGAGTCACAGAGCTGCAGGGAGAGTGGTTGGAAGAGTGACCGACGAGTGGACTCCGAGGGCCTCTCAGAACGACTTCCCCTCATATCTGCACAGCGACGACAGTCCTCTCAAACTGAGCTCTACGCTCAGCTGCAGCCGAACGTCCCCTCACCCCACGATCCACAATGAGCTCCAGCTTCCTGCGAACGACCACATCACCTTCAGTCTGAGTCCCCCTGCAGACGTCCCGTGGGGTCTGAGCGGCACCGAGTGTCTCTCCAGCAGCAGGGAGCCGGCAGCAGCTCCGGCCTCGTACGGCTCCAGGAGCTGGACGGGTTTGGAGAGGAAGAGGAGCTGCGAGGCAGCCGGCCTGTTTGAATCAAGTCAGTGCTTGCAGCTCTATTTGCATTTCTGAAAGCAAGAAAAAACTAATCTTATTTATTTTCTGCATGTTTTAAGCCTTTTATATAARAGTTTTATTAATAATTCTTGTTTTGTGTTGGTTTTGCAGTGCTGGAGCCGCTGAAGAGGAGGAGGCTGAGCTACGAGAGGGTTCCTGGCAGAAAAGATGGGCAGACAAGACTTAAATTATTTTAGTGTTATGAAAAATAATAATATAAAAAAACTTGTTCAAAAAATAAATTATTTTATTTGCCTCTAAAGAGTTTTGTTGTAAATGTCAGTTTTGCATAGTTTGTCC